ACTATTTAAAAGTGAAAACGACTATTTTATTAGTAAAAAATGCTGGTACTAATTCAAATAGTAGAATTTTTAGAGAGTGTGTAGATGTTCGGGTGGTACGAATAAAAATTGTAAAGTTATCTTGTAACTGTACAGCCCCAAAGCGACTCATTTTGGAATGAAATTCACGATATTAACTTAAACATCAAATCAATATTTTGACATATTATGTTAATTAATAAACTTAGCGACGAAACAATTAAAATTAACATGCAGCTCGGTTTCAATTCGAAAATATCATCGATGATAATCATACCACTTGTTATATTATGGGTGACAATATCCCTGTAGGGGCTAAAACTTTTTGTGAAATATTATTCTCAGCAGCTAATAATGGGTATATTGAAAATGGATTTATTCAGATGCATACCCGCAGCTTCGCTCCCGTGGTTCTATTGAAATATAACGAAGTTCTTGTCAATAGAATAGTAACAATGATGGACACAGAAGAGAGCATTATGTATATATCATGTATAATGTTACCCTTTTATACATACTTACCTATACATATTTAGTTTACACACACCTAAACACGGAATTTGATTAAACGTTTAAGGCTTTACAAATAGCAGCCTTACTACTAACTGAACATAGGCAACCCAGACTACACGTGGATGTAATAAGGGTTAAGTTACGTATTTGGCAATAATTAACGTTTAATTATTATCTCACAGAAACCGTGCATTTTTTTTTAATAAAAACTATCTCTATGCAAAAAATCCTATCGATAAGTTGCTGGGTAAAGGAAAAACAAACACCTATACTTACAAATGTATAATATTAGTAAGTAATGAAAGGAAGACAATCTATGAATTTTTGGGTAGGATAAGAAGAAGAAGAAGAGATAGAGGGGGAGACCTTGGGTAGGATCACAAAACTAGAAGCTCTTCTAGTTTGTGGGTAGGATAAAAAAAACGTCTTACCATCTGACGTTTCGTATCTTTAAATTAAAAACACAATAAAATTACAATCTCATATTTAAATATTTTCTCACCCAAAATTATATCCATCAGGACTTGGCCCGTCCAGATGGTAACTTAAAACCTTAACATTTTTATATTCGCTGGGGATTTGAGTACAAAAAACTTTTTTTAATATTGTCCCAAATTCACGTATAATTGAGACATTATATAGCATTATATAGAAAGTAATGAACAATGTAAGCTATTATTACACTAGTCGAATAGTCGAATAATGATAATATGGTTCCACTAGTGAAATATTGAAAACAAAAAAGAAAAGAAAGACAATTGTAAACAATAAATTACAGGTACATAAATATAATTTGCAAACATTGTTTAAACATTTGGAATTCAATTATGTAAATATGGAAAACAATTGCAGGTCAATGTTGAAAATAAAATTGGTTTTTTTTTACTTGGGTATCATCTAAATTATTAAATAAAGTTTGGTAGATTATAAAATGTTATTCGCAGTTTAAAAACAATTTTTTCGATGTCGTTTAACACTGCCTAAATAATGATACTCGTACTTTAAATTTTCATTTTTTTTACATAATAAAAACTTTATAACCTGCTAATTAATAGGCATGAAACAATATAAAAAAACAAATAATTTTGATGAAACCCAAGTAAACAAAGCTTGTTTATATTTTATAATCTACCAAACTTTATTTAATAATTTAGATGATACCCATGGGTAAGTAAAAAAAACCCAATTTTATTTTCAACATTGACCTGCAATTGTTTTCCATATTATATTTTTTATTTTTATTTATTTCAAATTTTGACCTTTGATATCATTTAAATGGATGGTTTTACGAAAAAAATAACTCTTTTGAAGAGGGTAAAATTGACTAAAAAAATATGTCTTGCACCTCTATTTATTGGCGAGTTATGAATGTTTCCTCATATGATTTAAATGTCATTTTAAAAGGATTAAACGACATCGTACATTTTTATTTAAATTTTTTTGGATTGAAAACGAATAATTTAGATGATACAAAAGTAAAAACCCTAATATATATAGATATAAGTGATATACTTACACTCTTTTGTTTCTATAATTATATTTTTATATATTGATTATAATATAATAATAATAATAATAATAATAATAATTATTATTATTAATATTTGCTCGGAATAAAGAGAAACCCTTCGAGTATAAAAAATACAACATTTTTTTCACGTGTTCTATTTTAATAATAATAAAAGTAAAATGCGTAATAACTCGAAATTATTTTTAACATTATAATTATATTCAACAGTTGTTTGGTATACCTAAGTATATTAATATGATCACATCAACACACTCTTTCAAATAATCCAAACTACTTTCGTCAAAATAGATTTTCCTAAGCTAAAAATCACAAAATTAGATGGTATTTTTTGTTATATAATAGTATATTCTGTAACAAGTTTGGAATACAGCATATTCCGCTCGAGTGAAGAGTTTGTCACACGAGCCGAAGGCGAGTTTGACGGTTTCACGAGAGCGGAATATGCAATTCCAAATGCTGTACTTTTTCTACGTTTCCAAAAAATACCATAGAAAGATAATTTAATTGGAAGAAAGTGAGGTTGGATCGGTCTAAAATTTGTTAGATATTAAAAACAGAGATCTAGTCGCCACTAGTGTTCATTCTGTCATCCGATGATAGAATATTTCATTCTGTAACTCTTTACGGAATATATGTCATTCCATAGATAAAAGTGATATAAGAGGGGTCAAATTCCGTAATAGGAGTAGAAAAACATAATTAATTATAATAAAATCCACAATAATAAATTATTATTTACAAAATGTATCTTTAAGTCAATAACAGTTTTTTGAGAAAGGTTCAATTACAAAAATAATACATATCGATTTACAAAAAGACAATAGGCGATCTTAAAAAAAAACTGAGTATGTATATAAAATAGCCCTCCTATAAATAAACTAAAAAAAATATATTAATGATTACTTAAATAATAATTTATCTATTTTGCGTTCATAATGACTTCACCGCTTTCGTTGCTGTAATGAGATACTTTATCCCACCCAAAAAATTTTGATTTTATAGGTTGGCTATACTTTAAACAGCATAATATTTTGCATATTGGTTATAATATTTTTATGATTTTTCTAGTACTTTTCTGACAATAAATTTTCTTTAACACCAAAGAAAATCATTTTTTTCTTCTTTAACATTAACAGCCGCTTTAAATAAGTAAATTAAGGACGGCATGGCGAATCGATTTTGACATTAACTGTCAAACCAATGACTGTGATACCAACTATCCAAAGTAAAATTCAACCAACTTAAGTTTAAGGTATAAAATTAATTTTTTTTATAGAATTTTTGCAAAATAGATAAAATAGCGTAAAGAACTCATGTCATAAGACCTTTTGTCGCACTCGTCCATTATAAATTGTCCGCTTGCGACAAAATGACGTCTTATGACATTAGGTTTTTAATATTGGTACCTACTATTATTTAGTATAAAATAACAGCATATAGGAAATAGGCCATTTAAGATTAATTTTTACTTTTTATAATTATTTGATGAATGAAATTTCAAACACCATGTACAGATTGAACATTTTTTTAAAAAAGATAGTTATCGAGTTATAGTAATAAAATCAGCACATAAAAAAGCTATTTTTATTTTTGTCAAAATGTTAAAAAACTGTTCTATTTGACTTTTAAAATTACCTACTTTATAAAATATTTTTTTTAGCAAACCGTAAACCAATAAATCAATTTTAATAAAACTTTAACATATTGAAGGTAATAAAATTGTTTTGGACCTTTTAAATATCTAAAAACAACTTCTAACTTTTTTAATTCTTTTTTAGAACACAAAAAAATCAATTGTTTATAAAATATTTGATAAATTATTATTAGAAAATAATATTTTGTAAATTTTACAACAATTTTCTGAAGTCAATTTAATAAAATGTATGTTCAAATAACAGTTTTTTCAACATTTCGACAAAAAATAATAGACCAGGGTCGATAATTTTTGAAACCAAAAAAATAACAGTAGGATGAAACCCATTGGAAAAGGAGAAGAATATAATAAAAATGAAAGGAAAAATAAATTACGGGCGATCTGACTTCGGGAAGTGGGAGGGGGGGGTTTAAGGGTAAAAAATGGTTTATCTCGATTTCCGGCAAAACTACAAGTCCTATGGAAAGAAGTTAAATGTCAAAGTTGTAGGTAATAAAAAGATCTACAACTTTTGTATTTACAATTTTTTTACATAACCTCAAAATTTATGTGAAAAATTCAAAAAACCAAGTTTTTGGTTTTTTATTTTTATCTTAAAAAAAAAAATTTTTTTTCCACGTAATTTGGTGAAAACTTACCTTTTTATGTCCCAAATACACTGTAATTTATTTGATTTGAAATATTTATTATTTCGCCTTATTTTGACTTAATATCAAAAAAGCACCCTAATTTTCAATCGAAAATTCTCGCGTCAAAATATCGGCTTTTTTCAAAAAGTCGGTGTCCTTTTTGTTCGATGAACTCTCTACTTTCTGATGGTGTAAAAAAAATATACATTACTATGGTAAATGTTCTCAGAAAATACAAAAAATATTATAATTTTTTTAACCTTAAAACCCCCCCCCTCCCACTTCCCGAACTCAGATCGCCCGTAATTTATTTTTCCTTTAATTTTTATTATATTTCCCTCCTTTTCCAATGGGTTTCATCCTACTGTTATTTTTTTTCTCATTTTACCATTTTTAAAGGCTTCTGCACTGGTCTATAAGGATATCCGCCATATTTTCGTTCTGATTTTACAAATTCTGACCCAATTGCAAGTCATAATATGCTTATTATAATATCCAAATTCTGTCTATTGCTAACGCAAACTCTAAATATTGTATAATCACATTGTCGGTGTCCACCCGAGTTCGCCGAGGCATCACCCAGTGCGTCGCGCCGCCCCCAACGCCGCCACCTCGGCCCGCTCTACACACAGTAGGTAACCGTCGTCAGTGTAGCGCGGGATATTCGCCATGCCGTCTCGCGCACTGGCCGTCGGGACGCCATAAATGCCGACGAGGCCGCACAGCGACGCCGCGGAGCCGGTGGACGCCGTCGCCGACGACGGTCCACCAGCACCTGGTGAACCCGCCGCCGCCGAGCACGAGCAAACTAGTGCGGTACCCTTGACGAGTGTTGACAGTGTGAAAAAAAGACCAGTGTCGTACCCCTGGGGCCCCGAAGCGAGGCTAGAGGTGCTAGAAGTACCGGAAAACTTTGAACCTTCGGCGAAAAGAAGCTCCGACCCCCCTAAGCCTACTATACCGGTGAACAAGGCGAAAACTCAGGTGAAGCCGTTCACCAAAGAGTCCCTGGAGCGGTTGGAGAAGAAAACTGTTCAGCTGGTGCGCGAGTACGGGTTTCAGCCGCGTAGGAAGCTCAGTGTCGAAGATGGTTCACGTCTTCCAGCTAAATACGAACCTTTTCCGCAGAAGCTCTACGGCAAACCTCTCGAGGAGATCGACAACTTCATCTATGACGAGGTGAGTAGATACCTCGACTGCGGTATTTGTTTCCTTCTATTACTGCGGCAACACAACAATTATTACGATATTCCAAACAGGGTTTCTCAGTGTGCTCCGCAGAGCCAGGATGCGAATAAAAATATAAAAAACCGGATGCTCCATAAAATATAGGTAAATTAAATGAAACAGATTGTCTAGTAGGGTTGCAAGGTTCAAAAATTGGTTTTATACATATACAGGTTGGTCCAAAAGGAACCGTTAAAAATTTAAAAATTAATAAAAAAACGTTAATATAATATGCATTTTCTTAATAATAAACTTATATCGAAAACTTAACAGTTTGTTGGAGTTGCATATATTTTTTTGAAAAAAAAGTATATTTTATAATGAATAGGGTGGGCCGATTTTATATTTAACTTCTAAAATTTAAAAATATTAAATTCTGCATTTAAGAAAAAGTTGTGAAATAGGAAAGTAAACATTTTTTGCAAAATATTTTTTTTGATATCTATATGTTTTGAACTGCCGCAACGCCTCTAAAAATTTAAAAGTAATTTTTAAAAAAATTAAAATTATTCATAAGCGGAAAAGTTGTGAAATAGGGAAGTTAACTATTTTCCTTTAATATTTTTTTTCTTTTTTAATGTTTTGAACTGTATGAAGTCAAACTGTAAATTTTAAATTTTGCAATAATTGCAATTATTGGAGAGACAGCGTAAAATGGAGAATAAATATTTTTTAAGATTTTCGTGTAGGACAGTTGACAGCTGGCTTCACTGTTTATATAAATTATAATATTTTGACTTCGTCAATTAGTTGAATAATAAAAATTTTTACAAGTAGTATCTGTTTGTGGTTTTTGGGTGTTTGTGAAAAATGGCAGGTAAAACAGGATTATAAATTGAATTAAATTTGTGTTGATGATAAATTCATTTTTATTTTTGTTTTTTTAATAAATATTTATCATTCAAAACTTTTTTTTAACCCTATTTTCTCTCAGATAATTTTTTTCGTATTTATAACGATACTAAATTACATTAAGATCTTTCAAGGCCTTGCGGCAGTTTAAGAAATTAAAATTAAAAAAAAAACTCTTATAATATTTTTCTGGCCTTATAAATGCACAACTTTTCCACCATTGCACAATTTGATATTTGAAAAATATTAAAATCGGCCCACCCTAATAATGAACACATTTTATTGAAGTTTGGTAAGCATTGTTTTTTTTATTAGGTACAGGGTGATCCCCTATAATGTCGCCCCCCTTTAACTTTTTTATTTTAAGTGTCCAAAAAAATTAAAAAATTTGTGTATGTTGGAACTAAAAAATACTTTTTTTCTACCTATAAAGAAAATTGGAAAATTGATAAGTATACAGGGAAAAACAAAAAGTTTTTTTTTTCAATGGATCACCCTATATGAATTTATTTTTGGATTCCTTCGCATTTGAAATGTTTTCATTAAATGTTTTTTTAAACTGTCAGAAATCAACTTATTATCTTAATATATAATTTAAATATTTCAGAAACGGTTGAATTTAGGTATATGGTATGTTATATGAAATATGCTTAGAATTTTACAAGGAATCGAAAAATAAATACATATATAGGGTGATCCATTGAAAAAAAATAAACTTTTTGTTTTTCCCTGTATACTGATCAATTTTCCAATTTTCTTTATACGTAGAAAAAAAGTATTTTTTAGTACCTACATAACCACACTTTTAAATTTTTTGGGACACTTAAAATAAAAAAGTTAAAGGGGGGCGACATTATAGGGGATCACCCTGTACAATAGATAAGAATTAAATTCGTCTTCATACTACAAGCACAGGTGTCACTACGGGGGTGATAATATCTCTTTTTAGGAAAAAAGTACCCCAATGTTATAAAAAACTAGAAATTTTTAAAATAGGCCGTCAATTTACAAAAAAGCCATCTTATAGTTGTTTTAGTAAATTTACGATACATTTAAATGTATCGTGTTAGGAGCACACAAAAAACTAAAAAAGACTTGGTTTTAGTGATTTAATTTTACTTCTTTCTACCTATTTTTATTTTTTGCAACTATTCAATTCGATTTCATAGAAGCTCAATCATAAAAAATTGAGAAACGCTGTTCTAATATGACTACTATTACTACTACCACCACTACTATTATTATTACAAAAAAAATATAAATCACAGGTATACCTATTATATTAAATCACAACTCAAATATACCTTTTATAAAAATTATCGGGGGTAATTACACAAGTGCTTAAAAATTATCGATAATTTTGCTTGAAAGCATATTGCCTAAAAAATGCATGAGTTCATTTTCATATTTTGGAAAGAGCCCGACACCGAAGGTGGAGGGCTCTTTCCTCAAAATATGAAAATGACCGAAGGCATTTTTTAAAAGGCAATATGCTTGAATGCAAAATTATCTGATTATTTTTATGCCCGAGTGTAATTTGTTTAGATAATTACACGAATGAACTAATTAAATCAAAGAATAAGATTTTCAAATTTGTTATTTCGACAGAAAACTTTATTTAACAAATAATTAAAATGTAAACTAAAAAAATTAATAATTATGAAAAACGTGACATTTTAAATAACCGTCACATTAAAATAAAAACTGACGTTATTTTTACTAATTGCCATGGATACGTAGATACAATGGAATTATCGATTCCTAGTAGACAATTATCGCTCTAATCAAGCGATAATTGTCTTGTAGGCATATATAAGAGGGTAATTATCGTAAGTAATATCATAAGGGCATTTAATTTTTCCGAAAAGAATCGAAAAAACACGTTGCTAAGTAATATTTTAACAAAAAGCATGAGTGCTGGTGGCAACAAAAATCCGAGTCAAAGAGGAGGATTTTTGCACCTGCACGAATGCATTTTTTTAAAAAATATTACTTAGCATTGTGTTTTTTCGATTTTTTTCACAGGAAAAATTAGATGCCCGAATGGTATTTGACAAGACTATTTCATGAGTAACATTTAACAATTAAAATATAAATTGCAATTTTTGGTGACAACAGCTGTCAAGTTTTGCCGCGGGTAAACTCGAATAAACTGCTGACAGGTGCTGTCACACAGTTTTTTCACCTAGAAACCATTTGTAATTCAAAATTGCGCGTTTGTGATTGGTGGAAATTAAGACGAGGGAAATAGTCATTAAAATTAAAAAAAGCTAAATAAAAAATATGATAAATTGATATATATCTTATGATAACTTGATATATATCATATAATATATATTACAAAGAACGTTACGGAAAATGTTAGCGGAGGTGCTTCGTAACACATTATATCCAGTTTTTATAATTAACATTCAGTTAAAAAATTGTACAATGAATTTAATGTGTTTTCTACTCCCACCTTTAAAACGCCCATTATAGTACATGTTTTCATGACACTAAGTGACCTTTGTGGATTAATGGCGAAGTTAGCAACATGTTTTTAGTCACGGGCTGAAGTTAGTTTTAAGTTGGTTGACAGTGGTCAAATGTCATACAATCGTTAGAATAAAGTGTCTTTCTTGTAAAATATTACTAAATGTGAAAATTATTTTATTATTTTAATACAAAAATACTACAGTATTAAATAGTTTCTCAACGTCAATATTTGAAAAGTTTATATGAACCTTTAATTTCATTTCGCCGGCAGTAAACTAGATATAATTTAATTCCGGGCTCGGACTCCACTGTGAAGTGCTCATAAAACATTTTTTCACTTTCACTGGGAAATACTGTAGTTCTTCAAGGGAAACATTTCGATTTATAACACAAATTTGACACTTGACGGTAACACAGATTCCCAAGTTGGTTACTCTATTGTTTTATGGATGTCGCTCTATACAAATATTAAATTTAGATCATTTTTAAATAATAATAAGTATTTGTCGTAGAAAAAGAAAAGTATGCAACTCATTTATAAACTTTTCTATACACTCACGCTCGTGCCCAAATTAAATTCGTGTCTAAATTGGCGTTTATCAAACTTAATACATAAGAATTTTTAAGAATATTTTGTTTCTACGAATAAGAAAATTTTACTTTTCTCTGGGTACTCCCACATTGAAAAGCTGTGACTTCATGGTGTTTTAGTCACGCGGGCTAAAGTTAGCAATAGTGGCTTTTGAGCATTTTAGTCACAGCTGAAGTTTGCTTTACTCACTCGCAAGCTTCGCTCGTGCCAAATAAAACTCGTCACTAAAATGGCGTTTATAAAACTTGATACATAATATACTATTGTGTTCGTCGTAGATAAAGTATGGTATGCAATTCGTTTTAAAATTCGGTCCGCGAGCACCGTTCGTGCATAATTGAACTTGTGTATGTAATGCTGTTTATAAAACTAGTTGAATAATATACTATTAGGTCAGATGGGCATTACCATTTGGTGTAAAATAAATAATAAAAAAGTGCATTAAAATACTAATAATTGGTTAAATAATAATAATAATAATAATAATATTAATATAATATTATTATATTATATTATATAAAGTATCAAAAAAGGGACATAAGTTCTTATTAACCGGGTACTAGTATTAACATTCAATGACAAATACATACCCCTTGCGTGCACACATATAGGTTATATACCTTCAAATATATATATTTGAAGGTATATAACCTATATGTGTGCACGCAACTATAGTTTTATATAAATTTCTCTTTTCCTACCAATCAAGGAATCGAGAAATGCAGGAATATTTTAATTCCTGTTTTTCTCGGTGCGCGCTTCACCAGAACCAAGACCGAACTTCCGTACAATTATAATAATAATTAAAAAAAGAAAGTGAGGTTAGATTAGATGATCTAATTTAGTAGAATCTGACAGAAGTCAAATTATTTGATAAAGTTAGAATAAAATTACGTTAAGTAATAAACAAATATGGAAAAATTTCCTAAAACCGTCTTAAAATTAAAAAGTTCATAAATATTTTCTTTGATGGTCTGTAGGTACAACTGTTACCATATATAAACCTTAAATCAATTCAAATAATATTTGAAAA